GCACTGTTGCCCTTCTGTTGTCGTGTACCAGTCTTGCCACTCTCCCTTCTGCCCTAACATTGACTAGTCGCTGACGGCCACAATTCGCACGTTCAGACCCAGATTTTCGGCTGACAGCCCAGTCTTTAAACACTTTAACAACAGCTGCTCTTGAACATCTAACAAATTCTGCTGTTTTGCTGATACTCGCTCTATGGCTCCGAGCGCCAACAATCATCCCACGTTCAAAGGCTGTTAAATCGTGTTGTTATCGTGTTACCCATATCTTCAGAAAAAAAAAATCACTTCTACTGTCGTGGTAAACAACCTGCTTCCCTATTTATAATGGTCTGGCCCTCTAGCAACTTCAGCGCGAAATTATAGCTAATTTGCCTACAAACGTCAGGTGGTCATAATAATCTGGCCATATATATATATATTATTTTATCTACATTTTATGTATCTACATTTTAGCCCAGAGATTGGTTTTAAACAAACAAACACAAAACATCTGCTGAGCTGATTTCAGTCATTATTGCAGATTTGTTGTGTTCAATTCTTATTTATTTTAAAGAAATAGTGCACACAACATAAATGTACTAAACCAGGTAATATTGCTGAAGTGAAACATGTGGAAACATGTAGAATTATTAAGAAGATTGAAACAGAAAAATGAAGATACACATTAGACATGTAAGCCAGCATATAAATTGTTTCCTTTAGTTTTTTTTGTTATTTCATTTTTTGGGATTTGGGTCCAAAAGTCAATTCAGTTTAGGATTCGGATGAATACAAACTTAGTATTTTATGAACACATTTTCGTTGCAGCAAAGTGACATTAGAAAACAATGACTTTTTTTTTAGTCCACAGAAACAATATAAAGAAAAAAAGTGTGGGGTTCCCTCCCAATTGCTACCAGACCCTTTAGGTCTGGTAGGAATATTAGGGGGGACCCCAATGCTCCCAAAATGTTAAAAAAAGCATAGGTTCACCCCTAAAATTTCTACCAGACCCTTAATCCGAGCAGCAGCCATGCAGAGCAGGAAAGCGCGGGACGAGCTTGCAGCCCCCCTTCCTGCAGCATAGTAGGCCACATGCCCTCGACATATGGAGGGTACTTCACCAGGGGAGACCCCCTGGAAAAGCACCTTGTCCCCATGTCAATGAGAGGACAAGGGCCTTTTCCCCACAACCTATGCCCAGTGGCTGTGGGGGTCTGCGGGCAGGGGGGCTCATCTGCATCTGGGTGCCCCCTTTCATAAAGTGAACATCGGGATCCCGCCCCCTTTGTGAATGAGTTAGGGATAGTTGTTACCCCTACTCACTCACCAAATAGGAAATGAAATAGTAAATATACAGACAACACCGTAAAAAAGTCCTTTATTAGAAAAAAAAAACAAGACAGTTTTTGACAATTCCTTTATTTTTAAAAAAAAGTGCCCATCGATGTAATCCCAAGGTCAATCAAGTTGTCCAGTGATGGAAAAGTTTGTGTTATGGTGGCCATACACTTTACAACCATCGCAAGACTCTTGTCTTGTGATGGTTGTAAAATAATTTAAAAAACGTACGATCTGCCCATCTTGGACAGGCAGATCGTACTTGCGATCATCGCAAGCCCGCCCCGCTGAGGGGGGTAGGGGGGTTGCCGAAAAAGCAGGCCACTAACCCGCCGAGAATCGTACGATTCTCAGCGTGTTTTCAAGCCTGCTTGTTCGACGGAAGACGTGCGACCGTACAGTAGAAACGGTCGCATGCCTTCCATACACTTTGCGATTATCGTACGATCGCGGGATTTCCCGCGATTCTCGTGCGATAATCGCACAGTGTATGGGCACCTTTATAGTTTGGTTTATTTATAAGATGATTCAATTAACTGATTGTCATGAAGTTAATGCATTTACTGGGTTGTGTCATTTATTATCTACATTAATCTTTCCAGTGCTTCTGTTGGGCTTAATAATTCAAGATGATGAACCTGTGGGCCTTTATGTTGCTGGGTTTCTTGGCTCAGGCATCTAACGGATGTGTTCAAATAGAATACACCAAAATCGAAGACCGTAAGCTACTTTTTAACTACTATTTTTTTTCTTAAGCACAATAATAAATACTTTAAAGTGACACTAAACTCAGGAGTTAAATCTTAAAAGTACATTCAAGTACCCTAAATATTAACAATACTGTATCTTATTTGTGTATCACTGGGCTGTAGATCCTCAAATCATCTCTGAATTGGTGCTAACACTGTCCTTCCTTCTGGAGGGGGGCTACTTTTGTTCCCCATGGTCCCTGTGTGTGTTGTAAAGTAGTCACCGCTCAAAGCTCACTCCTGTGATGGACTACAATCTCCCGTTTAGTAGTGCTAGAACTGCTAGATCACGGGAGTAGTGGAGGAAGCAGTCATAATAATAAAAAAAAAAAGTTTACTTGTATGGCTGCTTTCATTGATTTCATATGCAGATCCCCCTTTTATATTTAGATATGAATAACATAGTAAATAGGATGTAACAATTGATACACTGTATTACTAAATGACACTTGTAGACTATATAGAAATGTAATTTTACATAGCCGCTCCTGATATGTGATACATAGCAAGTCCCACCCGGAATATGTGGTAATAGTGGCAGGGTTACATAGTTACATAGTTACATACATAGTATTTGAGGTTGAATAAAGACACGGGTCCATCAAGTCCAACCTATAGCGTGTATGCATGTGAATCTACATGTGTATGAGTGTGTATGAGTCCATGTATCATCTTGTTCTTAAGTGAACCTGTACCCCTGTATGTTATGGTCTCTGAGGAAATTGTCTAATCATTCTTTTTGAATGATTCAACACTCTTAGCTGAAATCAGTGCTTGTGGCAGCAAGTTCCAGACCCGCTCTTACTGAGAAGAAGGGTAAATCAGAAAAAATGTATGTATTAAAGGGCTTTATAGAGAGGTATAAACCGATGCATGCTTAAAATGTATCAATTTTTTTTAATTTAACATACATATAAATACAATAAAATTCCATCCGTAAAATTCATCATTTCATACAAAATCATCCATAAAATACAACATCATATGCCCCATGTTTGTAGTCTCAGGCCTATTGTTACTTGAAAACCAACCATGATCACAAATAATGGTGGGTATGGTATCCTAATAAATTTCCAACATGATATATCCTTTTTAGTTGATGACCATGTACACAATCAATAGGTAGATACAGTATACAAATACATATCTAGCAGTTCGTCCCGACGCGTTTTGCAATTTGCAGGGTCCCAGGTGTGACGATGGACGGTGTGTGGCAGTTGGGTTGGCATCTAGCTATGCCCCCCCCCCCCCCTCATTCCGCTCCTCTGTCATTGACTCTCCGCCAGGCACCTTATTTCTGGTAAGTGCCAGGCGTCCACTCCGCGTGGGGCTATCCATACACGGGGTAAAATTGCATCAATGTGCTTCTCTTTTCATTCATAGGCATTGCGTAATGATGAATATGCTTGAATGTGTAGGTACAGCAAGACAATATTGTACATACAATCTTTATCTATTAGATTATCCTAATTTTGGTCCCCATAGGAAGCAAATTGCGAAACGCGTCGCAACGAACTGCTAGATATGTATTCATATACTGTATCTACCTATTGATTGTGTATATGGTCATCAACTAAAAAGGATATATCATGTTGGAAATTTATTAGGATACCATACCCACCATTATTTGTGATCATGGTTGGTTTTCAAGTAACAATAGGCCTGAGACTACAAACATGGGGCATATGATGTTGTATTTTATGGATGATTTTGTATGAAATTATGAATTGTACGGATGGAATTTTATTGTATTTATATGTATGTTAAATAAAAAAATGTTGATACATTTTAAGCATGCATCGGCTTATACCTCTCTATAAAGCCCTTTAATACATACATTTTTTCTGATTTACAATCATTAGGGTGAGAGGCGACCGAAGGGACCCAATATAGAGGCATGTCACAAACTTTTTGAGAAGGGTAACATGTTCATAACAAATTTGTGCCATCAGTAACATATTGCCCATCAAAAAATATATTTTGCTTGGGCATTTATACAGCGCGTGGTCGGATAGTGATGTCAGCCATTTAAGCTGTGCAAAGGAATGAAAAGCAGCATGGCACATATTTCTTGTTAGCTAAAATGATTCATTATTTTGAAATTACATTTGTGGAAGGAAAAGCACAAACATATATACTGACCATTTTACTCTTTTTTTAATGCAGAGTTTGATAATTTATTTACTGACATTATTGCCGGCTTGAAGGGCAAGCCTCTTCCTGATTTTGACGTTCTGCATGGACCTATTAGCATTAAGGCAAAAAGGTACGTTTTCTTGGACAACAAAATCGTTAATGTAGTTGTTTAATTAATTTGGCATTTTATAATCATTCTTTCATAGTATTAAAGGTCCCCTTAAACCTTTATTTCAATTTTTGGTAGATGTCGGATAGTTAAACTATTAGATAGGGTATATATATCACAGAATCCAGCAGCAAGATTTCTGCTTACCAGTCCTTAGATGCAGTGGCTGTATTAGTTTTCTTTTTTCAGGCTTGGAACAGTTTCTGTAAGTATAAAAACAACCCTGTTGATCCCACCTGAAACCCATTGTCCTTGCAGCTTTCTATGCACTCTATGAAATAGGGGTGAGGAAAGGGGGACATGTTTGTAGTCTTTGACCGGAGAGCAGTCTAGGGTGACAACGTTAATCCTCCATAGATACAGTACAGTGTGTGAGCGTTGTTACAATAGGACAGGAAGTGTCAATGGGTAAAAATAAAGGGGAAAAAAGCCTGAATAACGGAAGCTAATGCAGCTCCCACATCTAAGAACTTGGCATCTGACTGCAATACATACATGATACATAATAACCCTTTCGCTGCCAAGACCATTTTTGCAATTTTCGCTCACATGTTATAATCCACATTTTAGAGACACTTTACAATAAAATGGTGGCAGATGCAAATTTTTATGTTGCACGATATTAGCGCAACTCTTTATCAAACCCCAACATTTTGTAGAAAATGCCCTCATGTTAACTTTAGTGCCCCAAAACACAATATAATACCCATTTTTGGTAACATATAAAAGATGTGGTTATGACGAGTAAATAGATACCCAACATGCCGAGTTAAGAATTGTGTGCGTCTGTGATATGGTATAAAAATACGGTCTCCCAAATTGTCCATAGGCGACAGTTTAAAAGCCTGTACAGGTTGTCAGTTTAGATATATCTGTGAATATTGGCCATGAAATAATTGCTCTCACTCTGGCACACATGGCGATAGCTAACATGTATGGTGCAATCATCGTTTTTGTACTTAAGAGCACCCGCCACGTGTTTAAGTTAATACGGGCACACTTTAAAATATATA